TACGACGTCAATCAACACAAAAACATCGACCATATTATATTCATTATCATAAAAAACATGAAAATGATTTAAAACGTAAACAACAAATTCAAGAACAAGATGAATATCGTTCATTAATGAATTCATCGGGAACAAAATTAATATCACATCGACCACGACGTAGTACAACAATGAATGATATGAAACCAAAATCATTTTCTATAACAACAACGACATCAACAGCACCAGCTGGACATACATTATGTCGTCGTTCATCATCACTTATTGGTCGACGTTTTGGAGAGAATGGTTATGTTCGTCATAATTCTCATGATATTCAACAAGTTCGACATAATATACCAACACGTCATCGACAATCAGCAAGTCCATATACAAGTGGAATACTTCGTACAAGTCTTACATCATTACAAAGTCAAAATCGAATTCTTGGTAATATAAATAATACGAATAATCATCATCATCATCGTTCTGTTGTTGATGTTGAACGTGCAAGTCGTTTTTTACAAAGCCGTCGACGTGTTGTTAAATTATTAATTACTTTAGGTAAAAATAGTAATAAATTTTCTTCATAACAAAATTATTTTATTTTTTTTCTTCATTTTTTCTATTTATAGTTATAGTTTTCTTTATAACACGACTTCCATCAAATATACTTTCTATTTATATTGATATAACATCAAATTCTTATATACCACATAATACATTTCCAAATGGAACAAAATCAGAAATAATTGAAGATGTATATAAAGATTTCTTATCCCATGTTGCTAATACAGATAAGAAAATGACACTTGTTCATTATGTTAATCCAATTTTACAATTATTTTCTTTGTCAAATTCAGCTATTAATCCATTATGTTATTGTGTTATGAGTCATGCTGTTAAAAATGTAATTACACTTATACGACAAAAATTGCGGAGACGTGGAGAAAAAAAAGCATCGTCAATTCCATTAACTCAACGACCTGGTGTACTAAATCAATCACTTAAAATGATGGTACGTCGTAGAAATTCGCATGAAATTGATGGTCTAATTCATTAACATTCAGTTTTTTTTCTTTCCCGATTGTGAATCATGTAAAAACAAAATTTTGGAATTTTCAATAAAAAAACAAATTTATTTTTTATTTATGCATCTATCATATGTTTTCAAAGGAAAATTTAGATCAAAGCAGAAAAACAAAATTCCCACTTAAGTATGATAATTATTGAGCGTGGAATTGTTCGGTTAACATATGTTACAGTCATAAAAATTTGTTAAAAATGGTAATAATTCATTGAGAAACAAAGAAAATCTGTCTATAAATAATAATGATGTAAAATAATACACTGACACATATGTTTTTATTAATTGAGTGTCATTACAAATATTCAAGTATGAAATATTATTAGGATAATTGTTTAGAATTTGATTATTCTATACAGAATGAAAAAAAAGATTCGACTTATTATTAAATAGCAAAGTACGTCATTTCGTATCAAAATTTTAGTATTTGTGAAGTTGTTATAAGACTATTAATACTCAACCAACGCATATCGATTAAATATTCGAAAGTAGTTCATGTAAATTTAAATATGAAATATATATATAAATAAATGATCTAAGAACACGGAAAAACTTCTTTTTTGTTAAAGAAATCAATTATTTACCATAGCATGTCTCGCAAAATTAGCCATATGCATGACAAACTTCTAGTTCGGTCATTATCTGTTACATAAATATTATAAATGTATTCGAACTAAAAATATACAATCTATGAATAGAATATCTTTTTTATTGATAATTATTTGAAAATTTTTCATGTAAATTAAAATATCTATTCAATATATATATATATGAATATCTGCGAGAGAGAAAAAAAAAAGAACAGGAATATTTTCTTAGTTTTAAAAGATAGAAAAAGACAAACTTTTGTTTCTTAGTAGGTTTGGTTTTGTTTTACATTATCGTTTATGTTCTTCTATTTGTTTTTCAATACATATGAGAAGAACAATAACAAAAGTAAAAAGAAAAAATTCGATATGACACACCGAGTGATAAGAAAAGAAATATAGAATAAAATTAAAAGGAAAGAATGTTGAACGATAAAGAAATTTATATAGATATATATATATTGATATGCACATTGATACAATAGAAGTGTCATTATCAATCAAGCACAGAGCAAACGAACAAAAAATAAATAACAAATATTAATAACATATATGTGAATATGTCTATATATATATATATATATCTTTTTCCAGTTTTTTTTTATTTCACTGTGTACACAGACAATCGATACTTCGAGGAGAATTTTTTGTGTTTTCGATATATTAGTTTAGTTTTGTACAAAGGATCTAATTTGTATAAACACGCAAATAAATTGACAAAAAAAAGAGAAAGAAAGAAAGAAAGACTTGCAACTATTGAACAGAAATGAATAACAATAGAGAATAAAAATTTTAATCAACACCTTCGAATGCTTCACTCATCTCCATTGCTTGAATTAATTTAGTACGTAAATCTTGATAGTTTTCATAGGGTGGAAGATCGATCCGGTTAAAGCTAAAAAAATTAGAAAAAAAATATTTTTTGTTTTTTCATTAGTTTATAAAATAAACAAACCAAGTATGAGCACGTGGCAATTTTGTACGATCACCCCATTTTTCAATTGTAAATAATTGTGGACCAGATGAACCCCATAATTCACGAAAACCATTCATTGGTAATCGAGATGTACCAGTTACAAATTGAAGTAAACGAGTACGCTCTTCTGTATTAAACGATCCAATAGCCTAAATGAATTCATCATTAATTACATAAATTTCAAATAAAAGTTTTCTAAGGTAGTCTAATTTCTATTCAGATGAATTAGTATCTAGTTGGACGAATATTTACTCTTACTAACATCTAATAAAAATATATATCTATTTTCAGCTTCTCGTCTGTATTACCCCTTCGTGGGGTCCGCGCGGACCCCATGACAACTTTACTCTTTTCAACATATTTTTTTCCCTGCTGAAGCTGCCATCTGTTGATTTATAGCTATTTTTACCATTATGTTGATGATTCATAATGTCTTTCAAAAGTTTAAGTTTAATTTATGTTATTTTCTTACGATCAAAACTACATTTACTGTTTGTGATTTGCTTAAAAGGTTATCTGTTTTTTGATATATTTGCATTACTTCCAAGAAAACTAACTCATCAATCTGTATACATAATGGTATATATGTCTTCATATAAGTCGAGTGGAACGCGTAGAAATAAGGAAACATTTGTTTTTTGCGTTTTTCGGCAGATGGGTCCAAGAGGATCCCACAAGAGCCACGAAGGGTTACACAGAGTTTTCCTATCTATTTAATTACCTTCCAAAAATGTTGAATAACAGCATTATCAGGTGTATAACCACCTTTATACATTGTATATGTTCGCCAATCATTAACATTAATTTCTCCTAAACCACTTATTAGAAGCTAAAAAAACAGATATTTTATAAATAAAATTATTTCGTTTTATTTTATACTTCAACTTCTTTTTCATCAAATATTTGAATATATTCAAGTGGTAATATTTCTTTAAAACCATGTCTTAATGCATCCATTTGTATTTTTATTCGTTGTACAAATCGATAATTAATCACCATCCTAATAAAATACAAATATAAGTTTTTATTTCTTATTTTAAAATCGTACTCAATATATTCTTGTTTATTTTGTTCAGTCACGAGTATATGTTGACCACCAGGTTTAAGCTCATGTTCACGTAACTAGTAAAACAAGAAAAGTATGTTTAGAACAAAAGAATAATATGAATTTTGTAACATACTTCTCCAAGAACTTCTTCATTGACAACAAAATAAAGATCTAATTCAGTTGGATCATTGTCAAGAATATATTTTAATGATTGATAATATTCGCGATCAACTGATTCCATATCAGCAAGTGTAATTTGTTTTGATAATAACATTTTATAAAATGGACGAATAAAAAAAGCTTAAAAATAAATTAAAAACAAGAAGTTTTTTTCTTTTATATATAAAATAAATTTTTACCTTCAAGTAGTTTGCCATGATAAATAGCCATAGCAATAATACGACCAATAAAACGAAAATATTTGACATGTTCTTCATTAAATATACCCGATAATGGATTGACTTGGAGTGTATAGTTATCGCTAATATTAAAGAAGAAAAAATTAATTTTTCATTTTTTCTATTCTATAGAAAAATAAATATTTACATAGCACTATATTCAAATAGACCATAGTATGGGTTAAACATCTGACGTGATAAAATTAAAAACCATTCACGACTTAATCCACCATAATCTAAACCACGTTCACCATCAAATACTACCCAAAGTCTTTATTAAAAAAGAAAAAATGAGTATATTTAATAAGATCCTTTATCTTAATATAGATTACCTTGTTTTAAGAACTTCAACATCTTTAATACTCATTATAACACGAAATGATGTTTCCATAACATCTTTACGATCAACATGTAATTCAACTTGTGGACCAACATGAGCTTTAGGTCGAGGTATTGTACGACGAAACGTATGGTATTTGGCTTGATAATCACGTGAATATGGAACAGTCTAGTATAAGCATATATATATATACATATATGTGAAAAACAAATGAATTAATTTAATAAGTATCTTTAAAACATAATACATAATGATATGTACTCGAAATTTAGTGAAAGTATCTTGTTTGTCTTCTCGGAAACTTGTCAATACCTATTATCTTTCTTATTTGTAGTGTATCCTGTTGATTTAACTCTACATTATAAAATGTTTTAGAAATTATTGTTTGTTTTCTAAGCAAACAGTCGTCAAAAGTAATCGAAGAAATTATTACAATAGTTAACATTTTTTTAAAATTAGATAAGATTATTATCTCCTTCGGAATGCAAGTATATGAATTAATCTTATTGAAATAAATAGAATTTTGATTTTACTGTTAATATAAATGATATTTGAATAGATAACGATAAAGTCGTAATCTTAAATCTGATAATTTATTAACAATTTTATTTTATTTCGTACATACCGGTCCAGCAACACGTGGATCTGTCCAAGTTGTTGTTTTATTCGCTAAAAATTCAATTGATTTAATTAATTTCAAAGAAAATATTTATTTCATACTATGATCAATATAATATACACGACCATCTGGCATAGTGCGAACTTCCCAATTTGACTATAAAAAAAATATAATAAACAATTTTTGTTATCTTATTTTGTCATTTTTCTTACTGGTAATGGCCCATTTTGATTTACTTCACTTAGAGCAGATGGTTGAGGGCTTGGTTTACCTGTTCGTGGATCAACCTAAATACGAAGAAAAAGATACATCAAATTAGTAAAAACAAAATCTTTTATGTTTTTTTACCCAAGTTGTTCGTTTATTAATATGATCAATGAAGAATGTACGTTCATTGTCGTTCCTTGACATTTGCCAACCAGGCGGTAAAGGACCAAGACCATCTGTTACAGTAGTAGGTGTTGAACCACGTGCAGCTGCTACTGGACTTGTAGTAGTTTGGGGTTGAGCATTATTAGCTTCCATATCATCTATTTGACGTCGACCAACAACTGGTGCCTGAGGTCGTTGAGAACCAGCAATACTACAAAATAATTCATTAAAAATAAGCTTCTTAAAGAATGTATATGTACGTTCGTCCAGTTGGACGATTCCAGCTTGTTGTACGAGAATTATGATCAACATAATAAGTTCGACCAGCAGCATCTTTTCGCTCTATAAAATAACAAATATTATTAAACTAAATTAAAATAAATATAATTTTTTTACCTTCCCATCCGGGTGGTAAGGGCCCTTCAGGAACTGTAGCTGGTGGTTCAGCTACATCACGATGATTAATCATTTCGAATCCAGGCTACAAAACAAATTCTAATTTATCTGTCTAAAGTCAAAATTCATCTTACCTCATTCTGTGGAATACTAGTTGCACTTTCAATTGAATTCGTACGTATTAATGGTGTATCTGAATTAATATAGCATAATCCAACTGATGCATTACCACGAACACGTTGAAGAACACTAAGATAATTTCAAATAAACTTATCAATATATTCTATTTAAAATTATATACCTTCGTTTTAATAATGGATAATCTTTTACTAACAGCGGTTGCTCAGCTGATTCATATGGGATATTTAAGTTTATTTCAATGAAAAACATACCAAGAAATTCATCTTTCGTCTTTAAAAAGAAATATATATAATTTGAAAGAAAAAATTCTATTCTACATACAAGCTTATTTTGATCGTATATCTCAAATACAAGTCGATGTTTAGTTGGATCAACCTATTTAATATAATACAGATACATATTTTTTTTTTAAATTTTATATTATACTCGAAAAATAAAGTCTTGATTCCATACTGGGTTAAGTGTTTTAGGTACAGTACGTGTACGAGCAATATCGACTGTTTGATTTCGACTTTCACGTGTTTGAAGTAAAGCTTTTACATATGGATCACCCGATCCACCAAGGAAATCTCGTCGTTGTAAATCAACTGCTCGTATAATTTTAATACGTAATAAACGTGTATTACGTTCTGATGCATCAACGCCATATATTTTTTCTCGTGATGTATCAGACATGTTGGATCTATACAAATAGAAAAAAAAAATATATATATGAACTAAATAAAATGAATGATAGAGGACAAATAAAATATAACTGATTATTTATCATTGATAAGAAAATATTAGAAAAGAAGAAAAAAAAACGGCACGTCACAAAATAAATAAAAATGAATAAAAAAATAAACTTTTATAGGTATGTCAACATTTGAAAGAGATGAGATGCGGATGAAGAGAATACGAGTAGAGTAGTTTATTGTTTGAATCATGTTACTTAACGAAATGTCTACATTATTTATTAACCAATCACAATAACATATATTTATAGTTGTCGCAAGTTATTATTAAAGAAATTTTATTTCAAATATAAATATATAGTTATTTTTTCATAGGAAGGAAAAACTAATAATGGAATAATGTTGTTTTCCGGAAATTATTGTTGATAGAAATAAAATTTGAGAATATAAATCATGATAAACTAGTTAATAAATGTAAAATAATATGACAGAATAACTTTTATATCATATTACAAATAATAACAGTTTCTGATATACTGATGTTTCTATAAATATTTGGATCTAGAGTTGAATAGTCTTCATCTCATAACCGCTTAGAGAAAATAAATGGAAATTCTTCAATTAAAAGTTGATAATGTATGAGTTAAAATCATTTTTCTTTTTCTCTCGTTATAAATGTTAAAAGAATTATGTTAAACGTGTTTTATTAAGAAATATTGTCAAGGTAATAAACTAGAATAGAATGAAATGCTTTTAGAAAATTCTTATGTCTCAATTGAACGATATATCTCATTAATGAAAGTATATTTTGTATTTACTCTTAGAAATAGTCAGGGGTGGCGCGAGTCAGCCAACATTGGTGAGTGTAACAAAAAAAATTGAAGTAAAAAGATGAAATTTAGGATGTAGCATTTCTTTTTTTAAACCTAAGAAAATTTGCCGATTTTGTTGAGCAAAAAAATAGAAATTTTCTAATGATTAGGGGGCGGAGGGTGTTTCACTTCCCACACCCACCGATTATACCACCCCTGCATATCGTTTAAGTACAGAATTTTCTTAAATATTAAATCATTCGTTTACATCAGAATAATCATGATTGAACCTTCTTTTGGTGGAATTGTTTTTATTTGATCAAATTAGATTAAATAAAAAAGTAATATTTTATTTTTTCCTTTTAAAAAAGTAAAATAGGAATAAAAAAAATAGAAAAATAATTAAATTAAAATGTTTATAATCAACATTTATTCGAATGAAATGCGTGTACCATGTGTTTTTGGCATATTATTATTGATGGAATAATCATTTGATTTTGTATTTGGACGATTCCAAATTGCAACATCATCAGTATCTTCTGGATCTTGTGGATTTTCAAAGCCATTTAAAGGACGTCGACCAGGTCTACGAATAATAACACGTATTTGTTGTCGTTTGGTAATAGCCAAAATTAAGATTATTATTAAAATAAGAAAGGATCCAGCAAAAGCAGCTAATTGCATTCTGCTAAATGAATATGAATCAGATTTGTGATGTTTACGATGTTTATGACGTGCACTTGTACTATCAGCTGGAGTTACTTCAGTAGTTGTTGTTGAATGTTGATATTCTTCTAAAGCTTTTGCTGAATTCTTGCTAGTAAATATATATGGATATTGTTCAGTAGGACATTTCATTGATTCACCCATATGCCAAGCCCATTGTTTACCACCAACAGGTTCGAGCATATTGTTCCAAAGTGAAAGTGCAGCTTGTGAATGACCTTTACCTAATAAATAGAAAATAATAAATAGAAAATAAAATCTTTGATATCAAATTAACTAACCACTAAAGTGAAAACAATCTGGTGCAAAATAACTAAAATCAATTTTATGATTATCTTTCAATGGTAATTTAGTTTTTGCAAGAAATGGTTGAATAACAACAGTAAAATCATCACGACCTTCATAACGACCTGATTCAACTAAATCAATAAGTATTTGCTGATATCTTGGAATATAATCAGCCAATGTTTTAGCTTGTTCTGGTGTTGGAAATGCAGCACATGGACATGTTCGTTTATGAAGCATTTGACAAACAAAACCACCACTATTAAGTTCTTTTACATTACGAACATCAAGTGTAAGAACAAGATTAACAAGTGTACGTGGTAATGGTGAATTATATAGTTTATCAAGTGTATCACGAACATAAGATAAATACATTTCTGGTGTATGTTTAGTTACATTTGGATCTTCACAAAAACTACATAAATCATTACCCTAAAGAAAATATTTTAAATATAAAAAAGAATGATAAATCATATTTTAATAATTCAACATACGCCAACAAAAAATGTAATCACTTTCCAATCATTATTCCAATCGCATAAATCTTCATTTTTTAATCGTTGCATAAGTAATTCAGCTTGATAAGGCATATGAGTTGAACGATCACCTGATTTAGCTAAACGTAAACAATAGATATTTATTTATTAAATCTTTTTTTGTTTGAAATAATTATCACTTACCAACATTGAGTCGATTATTTGTTGCATTTTGACCATTTATAAGCATAATTGATACTTTGGTAGAAAAACCTTCAAGTTGTGGAGTATATTGTTTTAATGTATTGGGTAATGAAAGAATTTTTGTATATGTATGATCTCCACCTACAGACCATGACACACCTATAATACAAAATTCTATATATGAAAAAAGTCTTATATAAAAGAATTTCTAACCTCGATTTTCGAATAATAAACCAATTGGAGTAAGTGCATGAGCACCTAAACCAGCGGTTAAACTGTCACCCATAGCACCAATACATTTAATATCACTTGGTCGAAGTGCATGTACAGATGTTGGAACAGTTGCATCTTTTGCAGTAGAACATGGAAATTTTTTATGCTTATCACCATAAAGATAATCTGGTTGAGAGAAAAGTTCGAATGACCATTTAGCATATTCTTCAAGAAATTGTTCATCTTGACTTAGTTTCTCAATATAAGCTATATAATCATCAGCATCAAGAGCATTAGTTTTACTAAGGAAAACTGCGCATAAAACGAGAGTGACGAAGATGAATTTCGTCATTGTTATTGTCGATGTAATTTTTAAATCTGTCTGCTGATATATATGAAACAGCGAAAATATAACCTTTCTTTTTTTCAAGCAAGATATTAAATAGATAAGAAAATAGGGATAGTAATGAAAATGTGTTAACAAAACGTTTACTCATGTGATTACATATATACATGAAAAGGTTGCTAGCGTCCGAAAGGTATACTGATAAAACATAAAGGGACAAAAAAAAAGATGATAAAATAAAATAAACGTTGTCACATGTATGTAATAATGACAAAGAAATGAAGTTTAAACTGGAATATTCAAGATTTTTTGTTGTCTTATGAAAGAATGAATATCGTCTAATTTTTTCAATATTTAAATTATTATCAAAAATACAGCCATCATTTTATTTTATTATTTATTATAAATATCTCCAATGATCGATATAATTAATAAAGACTTTATAAGATATTTTGTTTTTAAATATAATTGTAAACATATGAGATTTCACCTATATTTTATATTTAGGTCAGAACGGTTATTCAGTAAGTTTGTAATAAGTAAAAAGGTGAATAAGAATTTTTAATAATATACGAATCTATTTAAACGAAAAGGATTCTTTTACATGCTACTCATTAACAATATAATTGAATATTTTACTAGATGTTAGGGTATTCGTAATACAATCATTATTTCCAATGAATATTTATAAAACATTACGTAGTTAAAATCTTTGATTACTCATATTTTTATCATATCTATTTACTCTAAAATTGCTTGACTTCGTATCGGGTGTTTATAATCTGTTTTAACAATGTTATTAATTTTATATTGTATGAAATGATTCACTTCATTTAATAAGAATCATAAAATTTGCTTAACAAAACAATAGTTTGAATATGATAAATAGATCTGTATGATAAACGATATTACTTAAAGGTAAATCTTTCCAATACGAATTTCTTTTCTCTCTCGCTCGTTCTCTACATATATGACTTTTTTTTTATAGCGATTATTATTGCTTTTTTATTTTGATATTTCTTTCTTCATCTCAAAAGTAAATATATATATATGAGAATGAGAGACTAGAGAAAAAAAACTTTATTATATTTCAGGATGAAAGAGATTCTTAAGCAAAGAGTATATGAGAAAAATATTTACCAATAGCTGCTTCACTATATAAAAGCACGCATAATCACATTGAAATAGAAACACGTACGTCAAAGAAAAAGAAATAAATAGCATCATGTCATCTGCACACGATGTCGCTAATGCTATACCTTCAAGTTTCGATATGGCTGGTTTAAGCAATGCATTCAGCAATCCACAACAAGCTTTTCGTATGTTAGACAAAAACAATGATGGTCGTGTAACAAAAGAAGATTTACAAATGTTATTAGAACAATTTGGTATTAATGGTATGGCAGCTAAGATTTTATCGAAATATATATTCAAACAATTAGATGCGAATGGTAACGGTACAATTGAACCAAGTGATCTTACAAATGCTAATGGTATTCTTTCAAGTCTCATGAAAATGAAACAAAGTGGCGGAGGATATTAATTTAATGAATACAAATAAAATTGACTATATTAATAATGTTTATGTCGTAAAAAATTGTTTTATTAAAATTTCTTCTTTCTAAAATTCATAACTGTACAAATATTCGAATTAGTTCGATTTCTTGTCTGAAAACTGGCACATATGTGCTACTGAAATGTCATTAAATAAATACAAAAGAATATAACATTTAATCAATCTATTTTCATGTATATACATAAATATCAATTTCGTATTAGTTTAAATCATACATAGAGAACGGTTTTTTTTTCGTTGATTTTATTTATGGCTAATCTCTACCATATAAAATTTAATAGGACTTGAATAGTTAAGTTTATAGAACATATTTGAAATCATCTAACGAACTATTATTCAGAGATGTTGAGTGTTTAAGAATGATTAATAGTAAACAATGAAAACAAATTATCTTTGTAATACTATACTTTACTTTTTGTTTATTATGTCAATAAAAAAGTCATTCGAGAATAGATTTTTCTTTCACTTTATTAAAAAGAACGTATTATTTTTCATATAGTATACTGTCCAAACCCGTAATTACTAGATACGATGAATAATCTGTTCATGCTAAGTTTTTCTTTTTTGCTTCATTTAATCGATGACGACGTGCTTCTGGATGATCCATTAGTTTAGTATTTGATTCTATTTCATTTTCTGATTTATTTATTTTATTAGAATAATCATTGTTGTTGTTATTATTATATAATTTAGGATATTGTGTAAAACACTTTTGCATCTTCATAAATTCCATCATACATTCAGATCCTGAAAGAATATAAAAATAAAAGTGCATTTTAGTATATATTCACCTTTCGGTTCTTTGCTACTATTTTGATAACAAGTAAATGCAGCACGAAATTGACTTGAACAAGGTCCAATAGCTTGTGTACCTAGACATGGGCAATCCCATGAAATAGTACCATTAGATTGAACAGCACCGGTATTTAAATTCTCATTATAAATATCTATCCAGATTTGTTTTATATGTATATCATTTTCATTCGGTATAAGACTATTTGGATCAGCAAAAATAATTCTATGTTGTTGATTCATTTGTAGACATTTTTAACAAAATGCGCCATTTTTAATCGTAGGATTTTTTAGTTTATGAGAAAATTTATAAATAAAAATAAAAATCATCAAAGATAACAACGAGAATGTTATCGATGGAAATAAACGAAGAAGCTCAAGCGAAACAAGCCATTGGATATGATTATGATACAATGATTCGTCAAACAAATGAACATTCTTATATAGTTTCTTTTGATAAATTACATCAAGAAACAACATATCACTTAGAAAAATCAACATTAACAGATATTCATACAGATTTTATTCGTAATAAAGAAAATCTTCTTACTAACGAAGGTTTTATTCATATAAAAGAATATACTATCGATAGTAATCAATGTCGATGTCATGAACATAATGATTTATTACACGATGAACAATTTGATAATATTAAACATTTATCCGATTATAAACTGGAAGTTTAGTATTAAACTTGGTTTTCATTTATGGTTTATAGGACATATTTACAACTTTATCATACAAAAAATACTCTACTTGTAATGACTATTCGATTCATTATGTTTATTTCGTACATATATTGTTAAAATATAAATCCTACTGTATAGCAAAAATATGAGAATAAAACAATCAAGTAATTTCGAAAGATTTCTTAAATTTTTTTTCTTATAAAACTACTCAATACATTTTATCTATTTAATAATGAGTAGTTACCTTACTTTTTATCATTGATGAGTATCTTTTGCATAGAGAAAGAATTGTTTCATATTTCACGAGTCTGTTGCTATCAATTAAGATTCGTTCGTTCTTTTGAAGTGATGCATGATTTCATTTGAAACAAGAATGAAGCAATGTTAACTTCATATTATCAACAAAGAAACAGATGTGGCGGTTATCAATATTCTTACTATTTTACCTATTGAAAATAGGATATGGTGAATATTTACAAACAATTCTTGTTCAACCAAAATCTGTAGAAGTTCCAGTTGGTGAAACCGTTCTTCTGTATTGTACGGTATTTAATCAATATGGTGATGTTGCTTGGTAAGTTTAAATTATACAGGAAAACAAAATGTTTCGAACTTTTCAAATACTATAGGTGTAAAGATGGTCATTGTACGATGGGTCGAGAACGACCATTATATTATATTCCTCGATATGAAATTATCGGAGATAAACAAGGTGGTATAAATAGTTTACAAATTCGAAATGTTAATCTTGATGATGATGGTATATATCAATGTCAAATTGGTCGAACTAAGGAAGCTCGTGAAGTTCTTTCAAATTATGCAAATTTAACAATTCTTATTCCACCTGAACAAATTTCTATAACATTTGTACCACCTGGTATTGTCATTACTGGAAAAGAATTTAGAATAAATTGTGAAGTACTTAATACACGACCGGCACCATTATTTACTTGGCAAACACCACCTAATACACAAATAGTGAATATTTCACAAGTAACGACACCAATGTCAAATAATAGTAAACTACTCAGATCAATATCAACAATAACACTTCTTGCAGATATCAATCAACATGGACAAGAAATTAAATGTGAAGCAACTCATATAGCATTAAATAAATCATTGATATCAACAACAATTATTGCTGTTGATTGTATGTTTAAACGAAATGAATAATAAATCTAAAATTTGTTTTTTCTCCCTATAGATCAACCTGTTGTTAAAATAATTTTAAAACCAATACAAATGAATGAGAACAAAGAGTATTGGTTTGAATGTATAGCAGAAGGTCGACCATCAATTACAGAACTTGTGTATGTATAAGAATAAATCAGATTTTTTTGTTTGTAAATTTTTTTTTATAGTTGGAAAATAAATAACACAATTCTTGTACGAATGCCTCCGATGTCTGATGGAAGATATCCTTTATATTTAAATGCTACACGTAATATGCATAATCAATATCTTTCATGTTCTGCATTAAATAGTGCTGGAGTATCAGAAGATGTTGTAATTCTCAATATTAATTGTATATTATTTATATTTTTTTGTGTTAAAACTTTGTTTGTGTTATAAATAGATTCACCGAAATTTCAATCATTTCCAACACCTTATACAATTGTTCGTTTGGGTGATTCATTAAAACTTTCATGTACTGTTGATTCTAATCCACCAGCAAATATTCTCTGGACAAAAAATGGAGAATTTGTTGGCGGTGGAAGTCAATATCAAATACCAGAAGTACATGAAGATGATTATGCTGTTTATGCATGTATAGCAACACTTGGAGGACAATTTACTAAAATTGTTGCATCTACGAAAGTTCTTCCACCAGGTAAATGTCATTAAATATGTATATGAATTTCTTAATTGATTAAATTATCATAGGACCACCACGTTTTTATCCTCCACAATCAGTTCTTACTTCGAGAGGATCAGAAGTTATGCTTAAATGTCAATTAGAAAAAGATATTGAACCAATCGTATGTTTATGCATAGAATATTAAACGTAACATTTTGATTTTAATACTAGGATTCATTTTGGATATTTAAAAATTCAACACTTATTAATAATATGAAACATACTATAATCGCAGCACGTGACATTCGAACAATTCCACGTTATGAAGTAGGTTTAATTATACATGATGTACAAACAAATGATTTTGGTGAATATGAATGTCATGTTACAAATCAATATGGAACTGAATTTGTTCGTATTCATCTTAAAAAACGAAGTATAAACATTTTTAATATATAAATGAAACTGAATTTAATAATTATTTAATTTTTAGGTAGCCATATTTTTATGCAATTAGCTATTTATTTTGGGATACTTGTTCTACTTAGTTTAATTCTATTTTCTATGTATCTATGTTGTCAGCAGGCTTGTCGAGTAGATAAAAGTATTAAAAGAAATTGCTTTTTTTGTTAATTCTTGATTAATATTTATAATAGAACGTACAACTATACGTCGAATACGTCGAGTTCAAACTTGGTTACAAAGTAAACCAAGCATGTGGATTCATAATTTAGCAGCAGCAGAAAAGGTTCTTTTCTTTTGAAATGAAGTTTATTTAATATGATTTGAATTATTCTTCTTTCTATAGATTCCCTTGACTGTCTATGATATAAATTCAGGTGTTACTCGAACGACATTGAATCCACCAGTTGATATTGTTGAATGTTATCTTTCTATGATGAATGAACAAAAAAATCAACATTTAGATCGACCATTATTACCACCACCTCCACCACCATTAACAATACGAATGCCATTCTGTAATGATGATGATTATGATTATGATTATGATGATCAATCAGAACAAATCTATGAAACAGCTGATCCTATTTCTTGGCATATTGATGTTTAGATTTTTTTTCTTTTGTTTTCAAAGAATATTTATATAGATGAATATATATAAATGAACATTTCGATTCATCACCAATTTTTTTTTCTTTTGAGTTTATAAATAAGAACAAAAACAAAATACGATGGGAAAAAATGCGCATATATTTAGAATTTTATCTGTGCGCACAAGAATACATACATTTACATACAATAATCAAATAAAATGAGATAAATAGAAGAGAATTTATATACTATTGGAGAAGGAGAAGGCATCAACTCTCACTTTATTGCAGATTATAAATCCAACTCACATCTCTTTCACATATGTATGATCATAAATATAAATCAACATTAGGTTTTTTTCTATCAATATCAATATATTCTGTGTCTGTCACTCTCTTTCACTTGCTTCACACACTTAACAACATTCAAAGAAGAGAGAGAGTAATCGAACAAAGAACAAGAACAAAAACAAAACGAATGAGAGAGCGAGCGAGCGAGCGAGAGAGAGAGAGAGAAAAAAAAGAAGGGAAACAACAGTAAAAATAAAATAGTTGTTGTAACAGCTGTTCGCAAACGTACACGAGAAGAAAAAAAAAGAAACGAGAAGAAGTAGATAGTTGTTTATACGTATATGCAGATCATGTTTGTATGTCATCGATAATGAAAACAGATAAATTAAAATTTTTTTTTGTATAACCAATAGCCCGAGGCCAACCAACAACATTTAACAGTGCAAAGAACAACAGATAAACAAAAAAAAAAAGATAAAGAAAAAAAAATGAGCGCATACGTATACATTCAAATAGACAGGGATGAAAAGACGAATAGATATATAAAAGAAAAAACAAAAAAAAAAAAAGAAAACATTTTTTTTTAGTTTTGAAATTATCTCACTGTTACTTTTTTATGCCGGGAGAAAACGAAGTAGAAGAAGAAGAGGAAAAGGCATTATCAACTGATATTGATGAACCGTTAGTATATTTTGAATACATAAAATTAGCAAATATAGCAATAAATATTGCTAATAATGTAAAACCAACAAATATAACAACAGCCCATTGTTGATCAGTCAATGTTCGACTTTCAAATAATTGAATAGATTTTAATTTTCGATAACATATTAAACGATAACGATTTAGAAATGAAAGCTTTTGTTCTGAATGATTATCATCATTTAATAAATGATTATTTGATGTTCTTGTAACAGATAAAGCTGCAGCTAAATCTTCAGGTCGTGGTAAAACAAAATGTGTTGCAGGACTAAATGGACTATTTAATGCTAAACCTTCACTTGTCGAACGTATAGCACAAACACGTGCTCGATAATCAACACCGGCTTCTAAATTAGTTGCACGATAAGATGTTAATTCTCCATGATAGATTTCTGTATAATCATTTTCTTTTCGATAGATTTGTAATTGAAGAATATAACTAATTGGATCTCGTCCAAGTGGTTTATGTGGTTGCCAATTGAATACACAAGATGTTGAAGTTATTTCATTGATATTTGGAGCTATTAAATCAATATTAAAATAAGAATAATAGAAATAAAATATCAAACCTTTTAATGCATTTGGTGGTGCTTTAGATGTTGTAAATGTATACATTTCTGACCATAATCCAGCACCGGAATCATTTTTTGCACATATACGAAAATTATATTGAGTATTTTCTTGTAATTTATTTATTTTATGTGAATATGTAGTTCCAGTATAAATGCAATTAAAACTAGAAGAAATTCAATAAATACTTTATTTTTATAATCATTCAAATTCTTATTGTTTTATTTACCTTCCATCTTTTCCTTCCATTTCAATAATATAGGTTATTGAACGTGGAGTAGTTGTGGATGGCTCTGTTGATGCTGATGCTGATAAAACGTGATTCGTTGTACCATTACCCCATTTTAATTTTAGTGAATTACATGTTATTGCAATACATTCGAGTCTCGGTGGATCAGGTGGTAAACTTTTCGTTTGACATTTAACAACGGATGAAAATGGACCAGATCCTATTGTATTTACAGCACGTATACGAATTCTACACAAAAGAAATTATTTTTTTCAATAGATTATAATTTTTAATTAATAACTAACCTGTAAATTGTATCAGGTAATACTTCATCGATAGTATATTCATTTAATTCTGAGCTAACAAAGATAAGTTCTTTTTCACCAATATCAAGATAATAACCAGTAATAGATGAACCATTATTAATTGGTTCTTTCCAAGTTATTGTCATTGATGTAGATTTTGGATGAACTTTTACAGAACTTACAATCGATGGAGGAGCTGCTGGTGTAACACATGATGCTAACATACTATATGAACCAGGACCAGCTGAATTCACTGCCTAATTAAGTAAATAAATATTTAAATAAAAAGTATTTTCAATAAATTTTCTTTTTGTTTTCTTTACCTGTACTCGAAAAAAATAATGTGTAACCGGTGTAAGACCTTTAGCTTCATATGTGCAATTTGTTCCACAATAAAGTTGCATAAATGAATCACTTTCTTTTCGTGACCATTCAAGACGATATTCTGTTATAGCTGCACCATTATTAACACCTTCTTCCCAACTAATCACAGCACTATTTGCTGTTTGACATTCAACAAGAAAATTTCGTGGTGCTTCAGGTACACCAGGACCAGAAACAACATCAAGATATTCTGACCATGGACCAGGCTTGAAAAAATAAAATAAATTAAAAATTCATTTAGAAAAAAAATTAAAACATACTCCTGCTCGATTAAATGCTCGAACTTGAAATAGATATGGTCGACCGGGTAATAAACCAGCAACAGTACAATCAAGATCACGTCCACGATAAACTATACGTGATGAATTATCAGGATTAGTTACTTGAACTTCAAAATCAATTACAGGTGAACCACCATCATAATCCGGATAGGCTAAACAAATATATGATTATTATTATAAATTCCAAGCAAAAAAATGAATTATTTACCCCAACGAAGATGTAATGAATTTGCTTTTGCTTTTCCCAGTATTTTCGGTGGATGACAAGAAGCTGGTGCAACAGCAGGCGTTTTTATTTGTGTTATATCTGATGGATCACTAAGACCACCAATACTTGAACATGATAAACGAAGTGAATATGAATGTCCAGGTATAAGTTGTTCAAGTAAATATTCTGTATCCAAACCATTATAAATCACATGAAAACCTATACAAACAAAATAAAAAGTATTATAATTAGAAGAAAACAAAATATTTTTATTTTTCCAATAATAATATTAAAACATAACGGAAACGAACAACAATTTATCAACCTACCATCTCCAGCTATTAAAACGAAGTTAAATAGAATTAACTTATAGAAAAATAATTCTTTCTTTGTTTTTCTCGCTTACCTTTCGATTCTTCTAATTCAAGATGATATTGTTGAATATCAGCACCACCATTATCTCTTGGTGGATCTAATAAATAAATTCATTTTATTTATAATATAAAAAAACCCTAAAGTTTAATTTTACCCCAAACAATTCGACATTGTGTTGCTTGTATATGTCCTTTAATTCTTGGTTTAGCTGGTGGATCAGGTCGATCAGGTAATGTTCGATATGCGGCTACTTGAGAATAATTACTTTGACCTTCTTGATTATGTGCTGCTAACTAAAAAGAAATGATTCAATAAAACATTTCTTATTAAAAACAAAAACAAATAATAATTACTCGAAATTTATATTCAGTATTGCTATGTAACTCTCTAACTGTATAAGTACATGATGAACCTGAATATTTATTTCGAAAATAATTTGATTCATCATTCATTTGTAATGTAAATGTTTCATCAATAGGTCGTTTTGCCCATGATAATGTTAAATCTTTTACACCTTTTTCATATAACATTGGTGAATCAGGTTCAGGTGGAATTGTACCTGATGTACTAATTGGTGTTGTGTCACTCCATTCACTAGAAATAAAATCAAACAAAAAAAAACATCATTACAGCAAAGAAATAAAACAAAAAATTTGATTTACCTTCGTCCAATACTGTTCTCAGCAGCCAAACGAAAATTATAAAATGTTGCAGGCATTAATTTATTGATTAGAAATTGTTTTTTTATACCACGATAGATTTCAGTAAATTCTCTACCTTTACCCTGAATAAGAGAAAAAAAAATAGGAAGAAAATTTTAAAGACGAAATAACGAACTTCATCATATTCAAGAATATAATTTAAGATTTTTGACCCATTATCAGCAGTTGCTGTCCATTTTAATGTTATAGAATTTTTCAGTCGACTACCAAGTAATTTCGGTGGTGAAGGTCGATCAGGTTCACATTGTTCAGTTGTAAATGGCACAGGATTTGTATATTCACCTTTACATGAATCAATACAAGCGCATACTCTAATAAAATAGAATAAATTATGTATAGAAAGAAAAAACTTTTTTTCAAAAATTTACTTCAAATGATATTCAGTTGCTGGTTTAAGATCTTTTAAAGTTATTTCATTAGCATCACCACTAAAAAAAATAATATTACAATTGAAAAGAAAATGTTGGTTTCTTCTTAATCAAGTCCTTGTCAGTATTTTGACCCATATCAATCTTTGTCACATCTCGACCTGGTACATTAATTATCTCAGTACATAATAGACTTGATGTAGACTTTGTCTGTCTTTAATAGAGGTGTCGATGTTGACAGATATGGATAAATATCTATCCAAGACTTATAAATTTAGCGAAAACAAAGAAAAAGTTATGATAGAATATGTATTTTCCATTATCAAAGTTTATCATATATACTATGTATCTTCATAGTTAATATACTAGAAAATATGTTCCATCTGTTTCCAGGAACATTTTCTCTACTAATGAATGAAAAACTAATTATTATTATTCATACCAATAAACTTGTTTATATTTGGCATCTTTGCCTTTATCTGACAATAACAATTCGTAAATAAGATTAGTAAAATCAATTGAATAATCGGATTGAGATGATGTTGATGAAGCTAACCGTGGAGGTTGAATTCTTACTAATACACT